CCTTGTATTCTCCTTCTTTCCCTGCCATGTCGTAAATGTGTGGTGTAGCCATGCTGAATTTGCTCCAAAGCAAATGTCGGCCTTTCTAGTCCTAAATAGGGCATGTATCCACCAACTCAAGTTTATATGACGGGGTCATATAAATTGGCGATGGAGCTCCGATATCAACTGTGCTTGGTTATAACCTCCTTGATTTCAGCCACGTTCAGAAAATCATTATTATCCATTTTAATAACAAATACATAGTGTATTCCGAATTCCAGGAGATTACGGACTAATCAAGGAGTCACATTCGTACTAGCGTTAAACGCAGTTTGTGAACCATAGAAGTAGAATTATAACCTCCTTGTGTGAACGAAGCGTGGGGACGCCATGGTTTGTTCAAGTATCCTGCATGCCAGACCCATAGCACGCTAGGTCCAAAAATACAGCAAGGAGGTTATAATCATATAGTCCTTGGTTATAGCCAGCGTGCGGCGCTCAATATACAACTGACAAGGGCTGTACTCCGGGAAGCGACTGGAAAGACTAGAAATTGGCCAAATAGTCATCTATAATATGCCAGGGAAGTTTGTCAGCTAATAGTAAGAGAATAGTATGACGTCCCCGGAACAACTATCTACTAGTATTTGGCAAAGCCTTGTACTGGGGCTGCGTGTGGTATAATTTCCTTGGGGGCATGTGCTACCTCCTTGGCAGGCGTTTCAGGATTGGTCGGGGGTTTTTTTTCGGGGGGGGGGGGATTTTATGATCAAACGTAGATCGGATGTATTACAAGCTCTGGCATTCAATGCACGTGGGCCCAGGAGCAAAGGATCAGCACTGGTTGGTGTATTATTAGCCTCTACCAGACTTCGGAAGGTAGCAGGAGAGAGTAAGAAATTGGAAAATGGAGGGATGACAAGAAACTACATGAACTGTATAATGGTATAAGCAAGTAAGTTTAGGGAGATACAGGGCATGGATGTAGGTGCGACAAGTCAATACACATCAAACGATTTTTTTTGTCACTGGGCCGGGGTAAAAGTCTATTTGCAATTATGTTAGATTTTAATAACTCCCTTTGAACAGTCATCTAGCTGTTGGCATGAAAGTTCATCTGAGTTGGTAAATTACATTATGAAAAGTTTAAACTGTTCTCCAACTCGATAGTCAGTTATTTTTTTTTATTTATACAGGTTAGCATATCGCCATTTTGGCGCTTTCCAAAGCTCCCTGTGACATACATAACATAATAGAATGTAACTTGAGTAAAATCAAAGGGTAGTTATGATAAAAGAAACGGAACAGACTAATAAAGTAGGAAAACAAACTAAATAAATGTAACAAATAAATATAAATGATAATGGAGCGTAATTTGCATATCAATGTGGAAAAAATTGGAAAATTAACAACAAAGAAATTATATTAACTGCTGAGTGAAGAAATGGTGGTCTTGAAGACCCTGAGTGTTTTTGCATGTCTGACGTGAGGAGGAAGTGAGTTCCAGAGTGTTGCACCGGAAAAAGAAAGCGATCTCCTTTTGAACTGCAAGCGAGCTTTCGGTAGCTGAAGTCCCCCCTGTGTGCTTAGTAGGGTGTTGTGTGTGTGGGTACCGGCAGATGTTGTAAATAGTTATGAAATGTGTGGAGGTGACATTCCATTAATTGTCTTGAACATAAAAGTAGCCTTGGCTCGTTTGTGGTGCTGTGCTACCGAGGTCCAGCATAACAAGTTCAGAACAGTTGCACTCCATGGAGGTGTTACGATCACAACCTAATACTACCCTACCCACTCTATTTTGCAGCTTTTGTAATTTGTCTACATGCCCCTTACCTCCCTGGTTCCAAACAGTGCTGCAGTATAAGATGTGGGGGAGGAACAATGTATTGTATATTGTCAGTAGGGCCCGTCTGTCCAAGTATGGTCGCAAACACTTCATTATACCAATTATTGCCTTCGACAGAAGGCTATGAAATCGTTTTTGCACTGTTTTGCAGATTATACATGATAAAGTTTGAAGGCATGGTCCGAGGTTCACGATTTTTAACAGGCAGGTTGTCTTAGTGATGGGCATTGTCAAGGCCAAAAATGGGCTTCGTGGGGGGTTCTTACGTGACTGCAGCTGACCTTTTGTGTTTGCGTGTTTTGTTGTTCCCCAGATAACCCGAGAATCCTTAAGTGGTTGTCTATGATTTTCAGTTGGCCAGTTGCCGTTGAGGATACGGAGATCAAGTTCAGATATGGGCCTCGTGGGGGGTTCCCATGACATTGAATTTGACCTATTGTGTTGGTCGCTATTGATGTTAGCGGGATAATTCGAGAATCTGCAAATGGATGTTCACGATTTTTTGTGAGCAAGTTACCGTTAACGATAGCAAGATCAAGTTCGGAAATTGGAGTCGTGGGAGGTCCATACGTTACTGTAGTAACACTGGTCACTTTAAATTTTGAAAAGACACCAGCAACCCAAAGTATGAAATTCCTGGCAGTTAGCATTATGGAATTATTACATTTCTCATTAATTATGCAAATTAAGTGTTACTTTACATTATCAAAATCTGCCTGTGTTTCTCTCGTTCTCAATTACATGTCAAAAGCTTGAATGGTCCTATAATGTAATGCAGCTGATTTTTAAAATTTCACCATTAATTATGCAAATTACATCCAGATTTGCATAATTGCCGCATAATTATGCCAAGCATCCTACGTATACGTAAGCTACCTACACACCAAAAATAACAACGATCCGTCCACCGGTTATTGAGTTATCCTCTTTTGAATATTTTCAAACAGATAGCCATGCAGTTCCTGTGCAAGCCGCTAGGGGGCCCAAGCTCACGCCACTTCTTCCCCAGCAAAAGAGCTACCTACCATCCAATTTTCGTCACCCCAGCGAATGTAGATCATGAGATATCAAAACCGGAAGTTCAGCTGCAGTACCACAACAAGCCGCTAGGGGGTCCAAAGTCTAATCATTTCCAGGTCTCATCAAGACCTACCCACCCACCTACCAAATTAATACTGTGTGCTGCTACCTTACAGTATTGCTAGCTCTGATCTTTGGGCATAGCAAAAAGACCCATTTTACACAATTTTATAGTGGTGTATACCAAACTATGTCATAAGTTCATTTGGCATTTGCCTAAGACACATTTATAACAAATTTCAGGTCGTTTGGTTTTAATACAAGGGCATAAAAGCATATTGTCTGGAAAGAGCAGAAAAACTTATTTTACACAAATTCAAAGTAGTGTTTACCAAAAATGTGAGTATAGCTCTTTGGGCTACGTCAAATACACTCCTATACCAAATTTTAGGTCATTTGGTTGTAATATTAGGTCACAGGAGCCAAAAATGTACATTTTTTGTCTGAAAATAGCAGAAAAGACCTGTTTCACACCATTATCAAGTGACGTATGCCAAATCTGCAAATGTCATTCTTTGAGCATATGCTCAAGGCACCCTTGTACCAAATGACGAATTCTACATTCCGTATTTCCGTAGAAAAACATGGTACAGGCTTGGTAAATAGTAAGTTGCTTCGTTCACAAAAAGACTCTCTGACCACTATAACTACGATAATCACCTTCAAAAAGCATACACTATACATACACACAACACCCACGAAAACAATATCATACTGTCGAAGGCATGAGGCTTCCGAACTCTAGTTTGAGATAACTTCTTTGACACATGAATAAAGTGGTCGCTTTATCCATGTATATCTAGCTAGATAAAGTCATACCTACCCCCCACAGAATTCTATCAAAATGGACTATATTTCAAAATATTTTCAAATCTAAGCTATATTCATCTTTTCTAAAAACCGATTCCTATAAAGTGCATGCCTCTCCACATTCTAGGAAAGTTTTGTATTGGAATTCTGAGGAGAAGGGTTTGGTCTAGGCCGATTTTGTTAGCAATTATGGAACAATTATGCAGATGTTTGAAGGAAGAAGTAAATATTTAGATTCAGTGGTATTTCATCTAAGTTACTTAGATTTTGAAGTCGATTCGTCGCGTTAAACTTGAGATACATGCTATTTTACAGGTAGCTCTGTATCACCCCCATTTTAGTCCAAAGGGCGTCCTAGGTACACAGAGAGATCACGTCACCTTAAGCCTACCTAGACCGGGCTTTTTTGGGCTTGGTGGGACCGGGGTGGGGGGCTCATTTGACCCCCCCCCCAGAACTCGAGAACGGTATGTCGTATGACCACCAAATTTTCAGAGGATGGTGTAGTAGTAAAAATTTATTTTATCTACAATTTTAATGTCGTTATGACGTAATTATGACGTCATCAATGTAGTTTTATTGGCCAAAACCGTCTAGATACATTATTCCTTGAAAGCTAAATGGTATACAACATAACTTTACCAAAAGGGTTAATGACATAATATTAGGGTGTACTAAGTCTTATGTTGCCCATAGCAATATCGGTGACGTCATAAAAGAACGTCATGCATATTTAAGATATTGGAAAAAGAAATGGATGTATTGAGGACATTTTAATGAAAATAACCTGTATATACCTGTTCTAATGATGTGGTCCGCCATCTTGGATTTAGGCCAATGACCTCATCAAATTAGCATAAATCATGCATATTTAATGATAAAGTTTACATAAAATTATATGGAATGTCATTAATATTAGAAACCATGAGTAACTTGACATAAAACCCATAAAATTCTATTGTTGAAACAAGAATTACTAAATTTAGCAAAAAAATTCTTGTAAGAAACCCGTTGCCATGGCAACACAAAAAATTATTTTCTTATTTCAATGATAGAGAATTGTTTCCAACAATATTCTAGGAAAAGTCACCAAGTTTGGACGTTTTAGCGCTAGTTGTTCAGACACTAGGTGACATCAAAATTGGCGCGGGCACTTTTAGCCCCCCCCCGTCTAGGTAGGGTTAAAACACACTGGAACACGACGCAAAAAACGTCAATACTTACGCTGGATTTGTTGTAATATGTATATGTGACTTATTTTTTCAATAAACTTACTACTCACCAATCCTGGGCGCATGGCGTATATATCATCGTATACTCTCTTCTCGGCTACCCACTTCAGCATATGTTTGCCATTTTTCTCTACATCTGACTCAAGTTTGGCCATCTCTTCTTTATCCCAGCCTGTGACAGGTTGATTTTGGTGAAACTCCCCGTAATACCTGCGTGCATTAAGAAGTACAATGTGTGAACTAGTTACTTAAGGTTAATGACCCGCCCCAAGGTGATTATGGTGTGATAAAGCCTTGCCAGTTGCTATTACCACCGAATAAAGCTACAGCGTGAGTGCAGCGAACGAGGTGGCTTTATGAGGTAGTTATAGCAACTCACAAGGCTTTAAATTATCACATCATATTCACCGACAAATGGCGGGCCACTAACCCTATTATTATATATCCTATCATAACGTACACAGTGAAGAGTGACACATTTCTGTATAAAACGTACAAACTTAAATAGAACATAGTTATATCTGGGGTCACCTGAGGTCACTAGGGAGTGTCATGTTCTACTTGGGTCAAAGACAGGGAACAGGTGTTTTAATGGGAGTCACCCGAGGTCATCGGAACACAACTCAAGTTATTTTTGGATTTTTTAGAACAGAGCGGTGTTCTTTTTGGGTCACCTGAGGACATATGCGGGTGATTATTGAATGTTTTATGAATGGATTTATGTATGGATTGCAATGAATAAATGGTTTTGACTCTATTTGTGACATTACGTAGTCATAAGGAATGTGGAATGGAGCATTCTAATTGGTCAACGTCAACTGGCTATATGATAATAGGTTATATTGAAACAAGCCTCAGTTGTTTTTTTTCTATTTCTGGAGAATCACATATACCTATAGAGTCCCAAGGCCATAGAGTTATACTTGACAGGGTGCGAATCATGTAAATGGTGAGGGGTTACTTTATACGGAAAGTACATGAGGCAGGGCCCATCAACCACCTCCGAACTGTGTTGGTGTCAGGTGTCGTCTTTCGTCCACTCTTCATGCACGGTTGATGCCAGTGCACTTCAGGCTTCAGGAAAGTCAGCCCCATCATCTTTAAGAGACATTGCACGAGAAGACCAGAATAACCAGACAGAGGTCGGAAAATGAAGGTCGGCCAAATTGGCTCATACTTTGTATGTGACATAGGTATGGGGAACTATTAACAGCCATATAGTCATTTTTTTCAGTTTTTTTTTCGTTATGGAGTTGCCCCCCCCCCACTCTGAGACCCCGAAAAATTTATGGCTGAAAATCCTAAAATTACAATGGGTACCACGGTATTTCTAATAATGATATGACCATGGGGTCTCTTTTGTCACATAGCATGGGTCTTCTACTTTTACAAAAAAAAATTAAAGATGCATATATTTGTCTTCACATGTGTACTTTTGAGACTTTTGTTCTGCATTTGCACTAATATCTAGGACAGGTTTTAGCAACAGCTCAACCTGTACCTTCCTTTGGTGTATTAGTTTCTGTGCTTGAAGCAGAGGCTATTAGTTAGTTTTAATGTTACATCTAAGTAAATTATTATTAACGCAAGAACTAAGTTATTGATCATAGATCTTGAGTATGAGTGGATTTCAAAGACCTTCCCATCTTCCATTTTCCGACCTACTGCGACTTTTATAGCGATCCTACGAGGGGTGATCCAAAAGTTCTCGGCCTCTCCCAAAAAACGTGATAGCAGAAAAATTTTTCTTACACTATTTTTTAACATAGTCTCCTCTAACTTCAATGCACTTGGTCCAGCGATGTTCCAGCTTTCCTTTCCCTTGTGGAAAAATATTTCGTCTGAAGCCCTTAAAATACCTAAACCACATCAATGACGCCATCATCACCATGAAAACGTTGACCACGTAAGTGGAACTCCAGTTTAGGAAACAGGTAGAAGGCCCACGGTGCTAGGTCAGGTGAATAGGAAGAGTGGGGTAAGACTTCAAAGCCACATTCGTTTGCTGCTGTCACTGACCCCTGTGCTGTGTGAACAGGTGCATTGTCAGCACGTCAACTCGGAGCTTTTCTCCCCTTTTCTCTGTGATTGTTGCCCTGAACTGCCGCAATTCTGGTGCACAGTACACCCCATTGATGGTTTGACCCTTTTGCAGGTAGTCAATAATGATTACCCCCTCACTGTCCCAGAAAACAGAGGCAAAAACCTTTTCAACGGGTAAAACTCGCTTGGGATGCTGGGAACCGTTCTTCATCAATTATTAGCTCTGCTGTTTTGATTCGGGGTGAAAGTGGTGAACCCATGTCTCATATTGGGTGACAAATCGTTTGAGTAAGTTGCCTTGATGGACTGAATTCGTTCCTTGAAATGCTCAGCCTGTTTGAACTTGTGATGTTCAGACAACATTCTAGGCACCCCTCATGCAGACAGCTTGCTCATCCCCAAGATGTACGACAAAACACTGTTAACTGTACCACAAGTCAGGCCAAAGAACCTGCTACATGTTGGACAGTCTCACATCTGTCATTGACTACCATGTGATGGATGGCCTCAACTGGATTGTCCGTGGTGCTGATTTGTGGCATCCTGACATATGTTCATCTTTTGTGCTCTCTCTTGACGCGCTTAGAACTAGCAACACAGTTCTTTATAGTTCAATAGGAAGGGGAGTCATCACCAAGTGTCTTGGTCATGACTTCATGGATTTCTTGAGGAGGCATAGCTTTTTATCGATACACTTGATCACAGCACACGCTTCTGTTGCGGCCATTTTGTGATTTTGCCCTCACCCACCCCATTTTCACGGGGCGTCACATGTTAATTAATGAATATAAAAATTTGCATTTTCGTGTGCACTGATGTAAGACGTCATAGTATACAGCTATACCAAAGAATACGCGTTTGACCTCTATTTTCTAGGTGAGGCCGAGAACTTTTGGATCACCCCTCGTATGTTGACTTCATAGCTCATATTGTACCATTTCCGGCTATTACGGGGTGCCTTGGCCTGTTTATTTTTTTTATTTCGCCCTGTCGCTTCATATTTTTTGCTGAAAAAATCCGAGAAGCAACCAATTAAATCGGTGTGGCCTAAACATTAAACTAGGGGCTGGAACTCACCCACTTTTATACTGAACAGAGGTCGTTGACATTACGGAACAGCCTGTTTTTCCCATCACGTGCAGGTGCCAAAGTTACCTGGAGAGACTAGACCAGGGTCCGGAACTTCACGGGGGTTTGTAGATAATGAGGAAACCACTACAGGCCTAAAAATAAACTTTTCTTCCTTTCGTTCCAGCACTGACCCAAAAATAAATTTCAGTTGTGCCGAAGTGAGGATGAACTGTCCCAACCTGTTCTTTCGGGAAGTATTGTATGACTTCAACTTGAAGTCAATATTATTTTGCTCATGTTCACTCCCAGGCACACTATAATTGCAGAATAGACAGGAAATTCGGGGGGATTTTCAGGATCCGAAAGAAGGGCTGACATTCTGATGTTAATTATTTTTCTATCGTCCCAAAAATGGCCCAAAGTGTCTTTTCAGTTGCCTCAGTCTAAATTTTAGTGGTCAGTGGCCATTGGACTACCTTTAGTTTCGAGCCCTGCCACTGACAGTATGTTCAAGGCCTCGTTTATGCTTGCCAAAATTCTGATTCTCATCTAACGTAACTTAACTTGATTTTTCCTGTCATGCAGAAATAATATTTCGCTCAACATGTTGGTTTCTGTCGCTCATCAGTAATAAATCTAATATTTTATGCATTGCATATGTTTATGAAGTTAGTCACTGGTCCCACGTGTTCGACAGCAATGGACAATTGGACAGTAATTAAACCAATGATAGCATAGCAATTAGTGGTCCAACCAATGAGAGAGTGGCAGTATGTCGCATTGACATGTTTTGTTTTGCGTTTCTTCGTTTTGGCGGAGATGGGCCGAGGCTATAGCTCTCTCATTGGTCAAACCACTAATTGCTCGGCTATCATTGGTTGAGCTGCTAATTGTGATGGACAGTCATGAAGTGATGCCTGCTTGTATTTCAAAGCATTTCTGCAACGAAAGTACGAAATTTCAAAACTTTTCGAAGGCTGTTCCTTGTCACAGTCTGACAGGCTAGGTCCCTGTGGTGTTCTCTGATACCGGTACTGATTGTATATTTTACATTTCTGTCACGAACACCAAAAATTGTGTAATCTAAGTTGTCAAGACACCGGTTAAACCCGCCGTAAACATGCCACCCGCCGATTGTACATCTTGATCTTCTGCCAGGTTTTCAAACAATCCACTCCTGCAAAGCACAGCGCTTTTTTCCATTCCGTGCATCGGACGCCTTTGTTTAGGGTCAAACCGCAATGTTTGAATTAAACAACTCTCTGTGATAGTTTCGTCTGGTCTTCGTCAAAACAGCTCTCCGAGTTCCCCTCTCGCCTCTACGTGTTTATCCCGTTGTTTGGACATCGTACTTAGGGTTTGACGTTTCACAGAAGCGAGTTTCTCATTTCTGTACTGCTAGCGGTAGCCTGGTATCGTGGTTGGGGTATAGTAGTTAGGGCAGGCTGTGTCTTCGGGGCTCTAATAGTTTCCCTCCGCCTAGTACAACAGGCCGCCCCGGTAGGAGTGTTACGCTAATAGAGATGACACGCCGGTGGAGTTGACTTGACGTGGGGCTAATCAATCTCCCATCGTGAAATACCTACCGGGAAACCTAGCTGAGGCGGTCGGGAGAGAGCTTCTACAGCCCCGAGGAAAACCCGCCCCAGCATCGATAAGACTGGATACCAGGCTATACTAGCAGGTGAATTAGTCAGCGAAAACGATCCCTACATAGCATTTGTGGAAGATGACCTCCCGAACAGTGTAACCAGTGGGTGTCACTGGAAGACAGACAAAAAATGTCCAGAATATAATATATGCATGATGTACAAAAGGACTAAAAAACTGGAGGACGTACCAACTATAACTTAATACTAAGTACCTAATACCAGCCCAGAAAAGAACAAGGAATAGCCATGTCTTCAAGTACCAGAGTTATCAACCAAGCTTAAGAATTCAAAAATTAATTCTTTCCTAGAACTATCGCAGAGTGAAACTCGCTGTCACCAAGTACAGTAAGTCAGTATAGAGGCATTGTCATTAGATACCTTTAAAAATGTTTAGAGTTAGATGTTCAAGGGTTAGGTGTAACAAGTCGTTCGATGTAATATAGCCAGCTGCCGCCGCGCCGCGTGCCTGCGAAGCTGGTGTGTTACGCCGAAGGGCGGTTATACCGGCTATACAGATACAGATGTACCGACCTAGTTCCCCTAATTTTTTGTGTGTGTGTGTGTTAAAATTTCTTTTTTTCTGACAGCCAATGTCATTGAGGAGGCGTCATGCAAATGTACACATAAAGTACACATGGTTAGTTGAAGGGGCCCTGGGCTGATTTTTAGGGTACCACCCAGAAAATAAATGACTCATCTTGTGGTTTGTTTCTGCAGTTCTAATTGTCCAAAATATGAAATGCTGATTTGAATGTGCCAATGTGAAGCAGTATGTGTCAATATCACAA